GGTATGGGGGATTTAAGGTAATTTCGACAGCTACCAATATAGATGAACTATCAACTACACTCCGAAAGTACCCAATTTCCATGCCCCGTCATCGCAATCCCCCTTTAACATTTCACCGATGCTCTCGGCTGTTGGGATGTTTTGGACTCAAGCCAAAAGGCTAAGAACAGTTGACCAAGGTAGGCTTTTCTCGAGCCGGCAGAGCTTAGCTTCATTTTTCTAGCTTGGACTTAGGGAACTAGAAGCGGGACTGAGCTTAGGAAACTGCTCCGAAACTGGAGCGAATGAAATACTTTCCAGCTTGGCATCGGCCTGACCAGTCTCGTCTCAATGACCGTACTCTTGCAAATGCTCGCCGAAGCCATCCCAAAAACAGTTTGCTTCCGCCTTCCTTAGGTAGTAGTAAAAAAAAAAAACCCTAATTAATCGCTAGACTTTGAAAATATCTCGCGTTGCACTATGCGTAGGAATAACGTCGCTTATCATGTGTTCTAAGTCGTCGTTTTCCCGCTCGACAAACTACCACTGAAAATCGAACCTAGACGTTCAGAGGTCGATTGAGAAGCAGAAATCTATGGATTCCAGGTGGGTTCATGCCACCTTATAGGGTGCTAAAGGAGTGTTATGGGTTCCTAGCCGGAGCTTCACCCGTTGCACCCTGAGGATGGATTTGTCTGGATTTGCGACATTCGGACCTTTTTAGGTCCTTGTTCAAGCTCTACGTCAACGAACACATCTTCACTCGACACTTCACCTTCCATGTCATCTTCCAGCTAATCAACATTATCGGATTTATTATCTTTTTGTCGTTTTGGAATTAACCTTATTTTCGGCAAATTGTTGAAGCTAACCTTTACCAAATCAATATACAGGGTGTCCCAAAAAAAACGACCCATCTGGCATTTCTCGGGGTTACATCCAATCCGTCCCATATTTGGACCAGAGGTGTATCAGACCCTAAATAACAACAATCCTGAGTTATAGCCCGCCAGCTACAGTAATTTTCGAGATACAACAAAAATACTGTTTTTCCAAGAATTCTGAACAGTTTTATTGGCTATCTGTTTGGACTTTGCATCGATTTGCATTGACTTCCGGCTGCGAATCCCTAATTTCGCTTAAGATCTTGGGTAGTTTTGCGTTGTAAAAATCGCTTAAATCGAAGCTTATCATTGGTTAATTCTCTGGAAAAATTTCTTACGGTAAAGAAGGCCTACCGGATCATTTTCACTTAATGTTTAGGGGGTCTAATTCCACGAAAACTCTATGAAAAACGGAAAATAAAGTTTGTTTTGCTATAACTCGAGAACAGAGCCTATGGCTTCATGGGGCTACAGTCAGGATTGTTTGTTATTTGGGACCTGATCCACCGCTGGTCCAAATTTGGGGGCGATTGGATGTAACACGGCGAAATGCCAGATGGGTCGTTTTTTTTGGGACACCCTGTATTTTATTCACAAACGCAAAAAAACTACACGATACCGGACAGCTATACAACGTCATGAAATACCACCGTTTTCGATACCAGTGGAAAGACCACGATAATTCAGGGGATCAAACAAATTCCATGTCATATGGTGAGATCATGGGAGGAAAGTTGGGGAAAGAGAGGGGAACTTCAAGCCGTAAAGCTATTGCTTTCTCACAGTGACTAAAACAAAGAAAAATATGAAAAACAGTAGGACCTACAATCATAAATTCTACCATGCATAAAATGCTACCATAATTCGCCAATGAGAGAAAAATAATTATAAGTCAAGCTCGTATAATAAAGTTTATGGGTTAAAAGAAAAAATGGGTGAGACTTCAGACCTCTGACCCCGAGCCAATTCGAACCTGATGTAACATGGCTACCGCTGATTCTACAAGCCTGTGGGGTATACGAAAATAATCACCAATCCAAGGACGAACGTTTTGGTATACTTTACCCTCCACGATACTGGGAAACGGAGATACAAAGGTGAGAAGTCGGCTGGGTGGTCTTCAATCTTGCCGTTGGTTAGGGCTTTTCAAGGAATAACTGGGACTAAAAAGACAAGGGAAAAGCAATAAATAAACTTGACAATTATATTTTCTAGATAAAATTAGAAGTGATCTTCTCCTCGGTTGGAGAAGGCGGTGGGCTTTGGCTTTCGATGGAGGAAAACTCCGATTTCTCAATATCCTCGTGGTACCGCTCCAACGCCATTCTATTGACAGCGCAGAAAGCGCATGATGCCGCGATCGACAATACAGACGTCATGAGTAACGTCCAGTACAGCTCGAATTGCGGGGCGATGAAGCAACCGATGCTGGTGGAGAGGGCCTGAAAGGAGCGGATGTTGTTGCTTGTATTTTTCATGGCAAAAAGAAAAAAATTCAACGGTTTAGCTAACCTGGAAGCACCGGAAGAGGGCAAAAGCCGGCGGTGACTGCTCATCTTTGTACATTCCACCCAGAATTGTATACGTCTGTGTTTGCCAGCAACAATCGGCAAGTCCGAGGAGGAATGCGACGAAAAGGGCGATCCAGAGGCTGAAAAAGCAAAATTGATCTTTCTCTCTCTCTCTCTCTCTCTCTTTTTTTTCTTTCTCTCTCTATTTCTATCTCTCTCTCTTTCTTTCATTCTCTCTCTTTCTCTTTCTCTTTCTCTGTCGCTTTCTCTTTCTCGCTCTCTCTCTCTCCTCTCTCTCTCTCTCTCTCTCTCTCCACTGACCTAGGCTCGATGAACCCAATATTATCCGTCTCATGAAGCGGCGCATCGGGAGGCAAATTGATGATCGAGAGAATATTTGCCACTAGCAACAAGCACGTCCCAATAACGGCCACCCGTTTTCTTCCGAATTGCGATCCACGACTGTTGCCCGAAATCCCGAAGAATGTGCCAGCTAAAAAGCTATCTAAATACCGTAGTTCTCAGAATCTTACCGCAAAATTCTCCAGCTCCAATGGCCAACATTGCGTATGCGATGGCAATTTCGTGACTGTCCATGCGGGTTGTTGCTGTAAAAATGTTTGATTTTTTAAAGTCAACAATAGCTTTCAATGGCGAGAGCCTGTTTTGGTGTTTCTAAAATTCCTAAATCATCCTTGCTGGTTTGCCTGTCGCAAAAAAATAAGCTCGGGATAAGCAAGCAGTTCTTTTAAAAATTTCGCTCCATAACTTACCAGCTAGAGAAGCGGTGTACATTGCGCCAAAAAACACGGTTTGGAAGCCGTTGAAAAAGAACACCACGCAGAGCAGCATCATTTCCTTGGTTTTTAGGAGTCGGAAGGTGTCTTCTAAAATTATTAAAATTGGTAATATTGATTTTGCAACAATTTTATAACCATAAAAACATACCAAAAGCATTCAGCACGGATAAGTTCGAGTCGGCTGATGCGTCACTTGATGAGGAGCCTCGGCGAAGTTCTAAAAAAATGTCGTAATTGATTGTACTCTGGGATTGGAAACTATTAAAGGGACGGGAAAGCTTATAAATCGTTCCTCTTTAACGACGAAGTTTCGGGAACTGCGGAAACTTTTGGAGGTTGTCGAGACCTAGTCGAGAATGCGTGACGAATCTAGCGATTCTGAGGCTTTTATAGGGACTATGGAAGTGCTCGTCCAGTCCGCTTCACTCCAACTTACGCGGGGTCGGCATCAACGCGATAATCCCGGCACCAACGAGCCCAAGTACGGCACACGCCATGTAGATGACGCGGTAGCTTTTGGAAAGCTCCCTACGAACGATCCGCGATTTAGGGTATATAGGAAAGTAACGTACTCGCTGCGCAAAACAATAATCAGGAAGGCAGCCCCGACGATGAGAGAAAATTGCACGGTAGTCCAGAGAATTGCACTGTTCCTGGCGACATTCTTCTCCTCAGAAATTCGCACCAAGTTGACGCCGCAGCTCGTCCAGAGTACTGTAATGGATTTTTTTAGTATATTTGTGGATTTTCCTTTGTTTAATTGATGTTTGTTATAGTTATTGCTGTTAAGGTACCAAAACCTACAAGCTGCTCCTAGACCCAAAAGAGCCGATAGCGAGTACAGTAGCCAGCCCTCGACGTGCAAAAAGCCCAGCATATAGATAACGTAGCACAGCATCCCGGCAACCATTGCCCACTAAATGTCGTTTTTAGTTGGTTTTTTTAGGGTTTTTATACCATTTTATTTTTTTGAAGCAATTTTATGGATTTTATAAATATATAAATTTAACAACATATTCATCGATTCTTATGAGCTTTTGATAACTTCATAATTTTTTATATTCCTCACCTTTGGGCCAATTTTAGCAATGACTGGCGGTATTAGGAAATTCATAAAAGTGTAGGTGAGGTAGAGGATGGTACCCCTGAAAATGACTGTCAATGTCAAAATGTCAAAAGTAGAGTAGTAGTATAAAGTCCCAGAAGACACGAATATTGAACGTGCTCTGGGCCCGTATTGCCCCATTTTAATCAGCCGCTCGATACCCCTGCAATCACAAGAGATTTACTTACACGTAATATCCAGATTTATCTGTAATCCCATGCCCTCCCTCGTCCGCGATACTTCTCAAAACGGGGATCTTAATTTAAAAATAGGATTGCAAATCCTGTACGAAAACTCACCACCACTTGGGCCTGGATTTCGAAAGCGGCTACGAGGCACAGCATCCCTGTGCTCAACTGCATCATCCCCGGCAGATCCGGGGATCTTCTGATGACTTGAATCAATCGCATTCTTGTGAAAATTCTGAAATAATAAGTTGATGCGGAAACACGCCAGAGCGAGTAATAAAAGGGAAAACGCAGAAATACAAAATACATACAATACTCGCCATCTTAAAACTTATGATTCGCAGATCGCATTCTGACAAAATCGTACTGAAAAGAGTTAAAATGGCAATAAAAGTCAAAAGTGGCTTATTGAAGGCACCATTCAGCCTGAACCAAATCAACGAGACCGATCCGTTCCAGCCGTTGCCAAAGTGCAAAAAACCAATCAGAACGGCAGCTCCCGATTGGGACATTGTTGAGAAAAAAATGTTGTGTTCCTTTCCTCACTTCAGACAAAGGAATCGGGCTTCTGATTGATAAGCGACCATGGCTATGGAGTTTTGGACAATGAACCCCATTGTCTAAGAGTTTCTTAAAGCTCACACGCGAAGATAGTCTGGAGCCAAAAATACCCGCAGAATTCAGAAACATTTAAAAAATGAGTAACGTACGGGCAAAATGGAAATCTTACTCGGGTCGGCGTAGCTAAATCGAACACGAATTTAATCTTTACACTCTCAATTTCCCCCCTGTGCAGCTTAACGAATTTGCCAAATTGCATGTGAACGGAGTCTCTCACAGTGACATGCGATGACGCTTGTTACAAAGAGTTGCCGATTACGCTGAAAAAAGCCATGCAAGTGCCAATTTTTGAAGAAGAGTCATAGACAAGAGTCGCAACAAATACCTTAAGCTACGCTACTACTAGCGCACTAATGAAAATCAGTAGTCATGTAGAAATCGGGGCTTAGGAACATCGAATAGATGTAACGTTGGCTTATTTTCGGCTGAGAAAATAGTCGCGTTTTTGCCAAATCCTGCGCTTACCGTGGGAGCTAGGTTTAGGCTTTGTCTTGTCCTATCGCGCTTGGCTTCCGGCTTGGGCTGGGATTGAATCAGGCGTTGGCCTAGGCTTCAACTCTGAAATAGGCGTAGGATTCGACTGGGCTTTAGGATGTCTTGGCTACGTTCAAGCTTATGCTCACATGAAAAAGCTTAGCGTTACGGAGCGGTAGCAATCAGAAGTGATCATTAAAAACTAGCACCGAACTCGCAGCGCGATTGTGCCAATAAGTGCTGAACGTCAAGGCACACGAAAAACTGCCTAGCGTCTAGCGACATCCCCCCCCCCCCAAGAAAAGGGGAACAAATGAAAAGGGCACGTTCAAGACCCTGGGATTCTAATATCCCCCCCCCCCCGACACCATCGCTGAAAATAGAGCTTCTGTGCCTCCCAAAAAGGGGTGGGTTGTTTTGGTAAACAATCTGTCGTCGCGCTGTCTCTCGCTCTCTCTCGCTCTCTCTCTCTCTCTTCTGTTTTGTTACTCCGCATTGCGCACTTTCCGTTCTTCTCATTCTTTTTATTTTTCGACCAACTCTTCCGCCCCAATCCTTGCACTTTCCATTCCCTCCTGGAACGGCGCTGAACACCGCCCGCCTCGTCCCCGCGGGAAATCTGGGCCGTAATATTTTATGCCTGTATTATTGAGCAATGTTTATGGCTGGCGGATGGGCCGATGCCGCAAAATAATGATCAGCCAATATGTCTGGGAAATAAATTTTAATTACCGAATTCCGTAGCGCAACTATTTAATATTTTAACATCTAAAAAAGTACCTACAAAAGGCACTAAATACACTAAGGTAAAAATTCTACGCTAAGAACTAAATTTAAAACAACTAGTAAGTATCGTGTAGTTTTTGGACATCAGAAGGGTCGCGAAAATGTGGAAAAATAAAAGCTACGAAAGCTTTTGACTGGATTCTTCTCCTTTCAATCCAAAGACCATGAGATTTTCTAGCAAAATTATACATAAAACTCGGAAAACGTCGAAACTCCACGTTAAAAGAATGTCAAAAAAAATTATTTGCGCATTGACCATTCAAATGCTAGAAATTCATCATGACGGTTCGAGAAAAACTCATGAAAACAGAAAATTTCTCTAAGCTACAACTATACTGGTGGTGTGAGGCTTACGAAACTTTTGGAACAAGGAAGTGTCAAATTGCACGTTCAGCAGATCGGGGTGATTTGCTATAAGTAGAGCTACCGTATTACTGGTATCAATTTATGGGTCTCCGTCAGACCACATTAGTGTCATAGACCTTGCCTCTAACAAAAGAAGCGGTCTGCCTGCAGATTCACACCCAAAAAGCGACCGATCTGCTCTGTGTGTTCTGGCCTGTTCTCGGGGGGTGCAACATTAGCAAAAAGGTGGTAGCTGCGAGACACAAGAGAGGAGCGATATGAAGGACAGGGTGCACAACACAAAATGAATTCGATCTAGACAGGCAAGATGAAGCACCTAGTAACCGACTCGTGCTGACGGATCTGAGGCGTGTTATACGCATATTAACTTCTATACAACCTTTAGGGTATCTTCAACTTCTAGGCGATACGCCGGGTCGATTTCCTCATACGCGGGGTGTCACAAAATGCCTACATCGCGCTGAACTGCTTGCTCGAAAAGGTGTTTGTTTCCGTCAGAGGAGCTATCAAATAATTTATTGGCGTCGTAAGTCGTTTCAAACAACCTAGCTGACCACCCATCAACGTTATCCCTTTTCTCTGGCTGTTACGGTTCATTACAGTATAAAAAAAATGTAGTTCTCCCCTTGGGCAAGCAAAAAAATAACGAATAAACATCAAAAAATTGGAAGATATCAAAAATCTGAGCTTGGGCGTGCTATGGAGTCTCTTTTATACCGGGTACCCTGACCATAGAACAGTAGAGCCTATAGAACCATCGCGTAGTTACGGTAGCTCTGGAACTAGCTGGAATCAGAACACAACCCTCATTAGCTCCAGCTTTATTACTTCTCTTTCTAGCCCAAATCGCAACACCCAAATGGTCCAGACGCCGAAATGGCCTTGAGCAACGCGCAAAACACAGAATGTCTCGGACCTCGAGCACACTTTTTACATAGCTTCGACACTAGGGCAAGACGAGAGAAGCCACCTTCAAAGATCCCTACCAGGTCTGGGAACGTGACTGGACCATGGGAAAGTGCGGCTCGGAGGAAAACTGAAAAGTTGCGAATGTGCGGCGTGCCAAAAAGCGGAAAAGTTGCAGCTTGATGTATCGAGCTTCCTGCTAAATATCCTCAATTTTTAAAAGGGCGCTAGATACTATGAAAACGATCTAGTTTTACCGCTCCTTCGGATGATTCTAGCATCACAGCAAAGGTCTGCGCCGGGTCAGGAACAAATAGGGTCGGATCTGGGGATTTTTTAGAAGAATTTCTATCGTAAAGTACAAACTTTTAAGATTAATTCAAACAATCGTTGGCTCAAGTCTAGGAAACCCCAGCCGACTTTCAATTTTCTACCTTCCTTATTTTTATTTTTCACTACTTTTTTGACTGAACGGCAATGTAGTCTTATTAATTAGCCTACGGCGAACATTTTGGTATACTTTAGGCCCGCTAGCACAAGGGGGCCGATACAAAGTTGGTGCCGGCTGGGGGGGTTTTGGACTCTTACCCAATCGTTATTTTAGACTATTTTAATTAAGTAATTTAAAAAAGAGGCAGGGTCGTGAAAAATGTTTTGCGTAAAAAACATTGATGCTGATGATAAAGGCAGATGAAATGATCACATGTCGTCATAAAACTGATCCCCTTTAAAGAGCGCGTGAAAAACAAACACAGATCACGCAACAAAGTCCAAAAGACTTTGAAGAACGCCAGCCATGATTTATTATCATCCCCGGTCATGACAAGACCGGCAATCGGAACACTGACATTAAAATAGCGCCTTCTTTTTTGTAAGATCAACGAATCAACACCTTCCGAAGAGAATAAAAAAGTGGTGGATTTTTTACACACCTAGATTTAGAAGTCTTGGAGGTCGTGTGCATACGCTGTTAGATGGTTGCTCTGCTGCCGATTTTTCGAGGAAAGTTTCTACAACTGCTCTAATCTCTTTTCCTTTCCGCCCACAGTTCGATAAACGTAACATCCCCATTCCTGTAGATTAAAACGCAATCAATGGATTAGAGCAATGATATCGGGTTGGACCGAAATTTCTTGTAATATTTTCGACTCTTTTATATTTTCTTTCCAGAAAACTGATTAGAAATAAAATGTTTTTGCGATAGACGTATGCACCATCAAATGTTCTATTTGGCCCGGGGGTCGAAATCATAAGGCGTTTCCTTTAGAATTTTTTCAGTTTTATTTACAGGAAATTGGAACATCGCCTCGTTCCGCTGTTCTCCAACCCGTTCCAATTTACTTCTTTACCTCTTTCGGCATTAAATTGGTAGCGAGAACTTATTATCTTGATAGTATCGCATTCCAATGCTAACTTTATGTGGCGTTTCTGTAAGATGTCAGGGTCGAAAATTTGAAACCCCTTAGACAAAAACACAAAAATAATAAAAATCCCTGGGGCTAAAAACTTGTAATTTTCATCCAAGATACTACTGAAGTCAACAAATTTATTGAAAAAGAAACAACCTTAGCAGTGCACAAAATGTTTCGAAAGAAATTTCCGAAATTCAATTATAAGGACTTTCGGTCCAACCTAATACATCCATCACAAGGATTG